TCAAAAAACTATTCACGAAATGCCGAAGTATCCAGACGCTGGACGTACTAGCTCCAAGCTATAAAGATGGAGCTGTCAATACGTTGACCCCCTGACCAACCACAAGGGAAACGCTAGAAGCAGCTCATATTCAGATGGTTGAGATTATCGATCGCAAGTGTTTTTCTAGAATGAGCAATTACGGATTTAAGTAATGGGCCTGATTACGCCTCTAACGTGTAAGTCGACTCCGGGGAACAGACTCACCGCCAGGTTTCCTTGTATAGAGATTCACGAACATGACAATTGTCGAGCTCCAGGGTCGAGATCATGGTGGCAAGAGAACTACCAGTGGCTGTGTCTCTGCCATCAAACAAGTGGGAGCCGTTGGACGGCATCCTCCCTGCCGATCTTGCCGTTGGGTGAATGCGCGCATCACAGCGCTCTTATCTTGGGTTGAATCAAGTACAACCGTCGCCAATTACTCTACACACAGTCCTCGTTCTCTTTCGGACTCGGAGCGAACCTGATATCACTGTCGGCAGATAACGCCGTATCAATATCTTCCCTCATAAGTACACGCTCAGGCTGTCCCCTTCGCGACACGATAAAGAATAAGCAGCGGGGAGATACCCTATTAACAGTGCCAATGCATTAGCAACTCGAATCCCAAAAAAAATTACAACACAAACTCGGACTCACCGTATACAACCCAGCAATTAGTACAGCAAATTCCTCGACCACCATAACATTCATCGCCAACAACACAGCCAATACAATCCCCAATGCACTATAAAGCATGGAACTCTCTACAAATATCGCCACAATACTTGTGTAATGCTTCAGCGGTATCATATTTAGCTTTTTCAGCCTCCTACGTGCTTTGAGCAGAGGTATGGCAGTGAGGAAAGTACGCACGGGAGAATTATAATGTAGAGTTTAGATCCCCAGATGATATAACATCGGTGTATCTGCCAAGTTCCAACGCCACCTTGAATGACAGGTTCTATCCCAGACATTGGAAACATGCCAAAACTCACCGAAAGCCCAGTAGACAACACTCCAGTAGGAGATAATGCAAGCCCTTTCATGTTTCATTGATGTTCATTGAACATCATTTTCGCTCATTGACTACCAATTTTAACCCCAAAATGGATTAATATCAATGACCTCCGATTATTGGTGACTCGCCACTATTAGCTGCACATTTTCCTGATGCTATTTGACACCGCGATAGCGGAATACTTTCATGGCCATGCCGGCCACGAGGTTCAAGTTATACTGACGGTGACGGGAGTTCCTGACATTTTGACTCAGAGTACAGTATTAAATAGTGATTGGACCAGCACATTGAGGTAGTACATAGATACAAATCCAACTCAAGCTGTGAAGAAGAGTCTTATGCTAAGTACGGTCAGTCATCTCAGATTAACCTGTGCCTCAGCCTCTTCAACAGCATCGAGTGGTTGCGTCTGAGCAGTCATGAAACTGGCCTCCATATCCCGAAAAGCCTTCATCACTAAAGTCGACAAAACGGTAAGGAGGCTTCGCAGATTCGACAATTGGGTAGCATACCTTCTATGGTGTCCATCTGGGTAGATTTGATATACGACACTGTCACAAGGCATCGACTCGGAATACGAGTTTGTAGATACTAAAGCGGTCACGTACCTGGGAGTGCTGAGCCATTATTGGTCATAGCACCATCTTCGTGGTTATCCGTCACGTAGGAAATACCAATCCTGGTTCGCGTGTGATGCTGGGATTCCTCTACATTTGTAACGGTAGGGTTCGCTATACCGTATTGCCACTATGTTAAGATTCGTTCGCTGGTTTAAATTGAGCTGCTTACCGCCCTCCATTCTTAGGACAGCGCCATTATTGGTGACAGCAAATTTACCCAGGGTTTCGGTGCGAAACTCTTTCGAGTTAGCATCGGGTTGATTCGCCGTCTTTACACCGCCCTCTAATAAGTGAGAAGTATGGCAGTAGTGAGCTAAATTGATTCTATCACAAAATGGCAACTCACTATCGTAAACTTGAACGTTATTGTTGGTTGTCACAAAATTCTTGCGTTGAGTAGTGGTGTATGTGGGCTTCTTAGCAGCATTGTTACCTTCCCCTCCATTAGTACGCGGAATATCTTGCGAACAAGCTGCGGGAAAGGGTGTCAGCCAGTTACCGAATCAAAAAGTCAATAAGTATATGTTGCTCACTAATGTGTTCGGTGTCAGAAACCCCATTCTGTTGCCCTCCTTGTTGAGGAATCTCGTTGACTCGGGTGTCAAGATCTCCATTCTGTTCCTCTGCCTGTTGAGGACTCGAATTGAAAGGCACTTGCATGTCTGGTCGCCCACCTTCAGTCAATCAGTAACAATGACCGAGAACAGAGTGAAAACAGCCGCACTGGTCGTATCACTGTATGTCGGTGGCGGTGTGTCTAGAGCATTTGCAGCTATCTGAGCCTTGCCCTGGTCGGTGACGCTATCATGCTCCGGGGCGTGCGGTAACTTCTCCCTTGGTGGTTTCTGCTTCTTTGAAAAGACTCGTTTGAAGAGGCCCATGTCGAGATGGATACTTGAAACTAGTGAAAACTCTTGCAAGTTTCTGGAAATGTTGTATGAGTGTTTACAAGGTGAAGATCCTTTTTATCTTACCACTGTGCCGCCACAGCATCATTCATTGTGGATTTTGCGAGGCTTCAGGGTCCAAGCATGCTTGAGGCATGTTATCTGAAGGAAGTGACGAGAAAGAACAAATTACGGCGACCACTTACAATCGATAGAACGACCGGAGATGGAGCTCACCTTGCAGCGCACATACTGTTGAATTACTCGATTAATCTGGATTGGTCACAGGTCTGTCTGTCTGCATCGCTTCTGACCTGCAGAAAGCGCCCAAAGCATCAAACCAGAACCACCTCAGTTGGCAGTTGGAGCAACTTGGTGCAACGAGGCGTGTCAAGCCATTCAAAAGATAGCTGCCTTGACATTAAGCGCCCGCGTGTACATTCGAGAACAGCTTGAAAGCTGTGGAATTCGATGAATTATCATTGACTGTCTGAGATCGAGGGTTCTCAATACAAAGGTGAACGTGAGGCTTCCTGTAAGAACCCTCTAAAACCTGAGTCGGAGTTTAGACGAGACTATCAGAGGTGCGTTATAATTCGAGCTGATGGGAAAACACTTCACTTGGAACGGAAACGATGGTGCCTTGTATTGGGATGAACGTTCCAATTCAGTACCTTGGCGCTTGTACTGTGAGAATCCGGTGTACATCGATTCCTTCCAGTGGACGACACACCGGAAACGCCTTGAACGTTCGGATTCCGCACGTTGGCTTGTACTGGTACATTGATTCCTTTCACCGGATGATGATATAATCTCCACCATTCGCGCGATGAGAGTGTTCGAAGCCCGAGGTACCAGAATAGACACTGTGGGACGTGAAGTTTACTGTTCTAATCTGATTTGCAGGATCGGAGGAACAAACTCTAAAACTCACGAGGCTCCAATTCCAAACCTTGACGATTTTTCTTGATCCACCCAAGTCATCAGTACACCGAAAGCGAAAGCGATTTCACGAAACCAAGAGTCGAGGTCGGAGTCGTCGTGGTTACGTCGCAAGAATGCAAGTGGCTGTGCTGCTACCATCACACCGGATTTGCCTTGCTGAGTTAGGGTTCTTGCCGCCACCGTGACTCAGTACTCAGGCCTCAGATGCCAAAGCACTGAATCATCCTGGCCGTGCCAAACAAATCTCGCCATGAACGGTACTGGATCAATCTACACAAAGTTACGACTACCTAATATGAGCGGATAAAGCCGTATCAACTTGAATATCTTGTCTCGTACCCCCTTGGTTCGCATTGGTAAGATTCAACATATGTAGCGCAAGAGTTAACTTCTTCCCAAGGTGCATAATAACAGGACTACACCGACTCGGAGAGGAGATCTAACCCAATCGATAGGTCACGCCATCGAGGAATGTTGGTGTGATATCAGGCTACGTCGAAAAAAAGGTTTGGCGCGCTGATCTGTCCGAGTTGGTCCACGGAGGTTCAAGTTCTCCTACCAGAGAGAAGTACGACTCGCGGGCTGGCAATGGCGAAAGGAAGCCGCCACCATGATCGCCAAACTCAATATACTTTACCACGCGGTTCGACGGTGTAGTCACCGATTTTGGGTGGTGTACTGCCATCGAATCAAGCGCCTAAAACCATTTCTTTGAGGAACATTAGATGTAGTACTCCCAAGTCGGATACTGAGGGCGCCGATGAGTTGCTGTAGTGATGGTTATGTCAAACGAAGGTTTTGGTCGGCGTGCGGATTCACCAGACCACAGAAAGTCCTAGAGTGAACGGCTAGCGCTCAGATTTTCCGACGCCACATACCGAAAGCCAGTCCACCGTGACAAGTATCAGAAGGATCGTCGAGCTCATGGTGGTAACGGTGCAAGAATATGAGTGGCTGTGTCTCATTTGTTCGGCATTTACCTTGCCGAGTTTCCCGTCGTAGCTCGGGTGTCAAAGCGGTCACTAACTTGAAAATCTCTCATCCTTGGCTGTACCAAACTTGAAATCTCGCTATGGATGGCAGTAGCTGCGCTTCTAAACAACCTGAAGAAAGATCTGGATTGCGGCTTGCTACCACCTTGGAGTCCGAGTCCAAGTCTGAGTTTACAAAAACATCGTGCTGCTATTGGTTAATGATTCGACCCAGGTTCGAACTGGGACCTTTCCAGCGTATTATGTTAGATGTGATACCGTATATAACCAACTACACCATCGAACCAGTTCCTCGCTCTCTCTCAATCCGTGTTTTCTTATACCCGATACGAGATGTTGAATACTGAAAAACCCCATGCCAGTAGTTGACGGAAAGGTGCCAGTGGGTCACGGAAGCTACCTCCAAAAACCACCGCTCTAAATCGTTTTCACACCCAAGCCGGACAACACTTGGATTTATCGAACAATGGGTCCTGGATTGGCATAGGCGTTGTCAGTGCCAAACGTCACCCATGGTTCGATGGCGTAGTTGGTTATCGCATCTGTCTAACATGAAATGTTAGGTATATTCTTACACAGAAGGTCCCCAGTTCGAGCCTGGGTCGAATCATGTTAGCGATAACTCATCTTTTTCTTTACCGTGGAGAGAAGGGAAGAAAGCAACCCAGTTGCAGAGGTTTTTGTTATTGTTATTGTATCCTAGAGTCGTGTTCGAGTCGGATAATAATAGGACTACACGAAGAGGAATCGATAAGTCATACATACATCTACCGACCGTGACAAAGTGGCGATAGTCACGTAGAAGGTTTTGGTTGGCGTTCGGATTTATCGGACCATTGAAATCCTGCCAGTAGCTGCATGTAAGCGCCAGAGAGAAATAAGACTCGCAGGTTAATGCCAAAGTCCAGGGTTTTGGAAAGTCAGGTTGAGTTCAGTATATTGTTTTGAGCGGCGAAGGAAAAATGAGGTTGGTCCGAACTCGAGATTATATGACCTGTTTATCAATCGATTACAGGGACTTGACTTGTGTTAAACCACGGTTAGTATCACTTGCATTTGACATCGAGCATCTGGGCACTACAACCTGTGTGAGTGCCCAACCTAACCTAAAATCTGCTTTCAGTAAATCCTGGTCCCTAGTCATTCGCACTTGAGTATTCTTGGAGGGTGCCTGGCTGAATGTTTGAGCGCAGAACCACATGGTTCGATGGCGTAGTTGGTTATCGCATCTGTCTAACATTGGTGGAATATCAACATTGGGTTATACACAGAAGGTCCCCAGTTCGAGCCTGGGTCGAATCACATCAGAGAAAAGCCTCCAGTTTACTTTTCTCTTTTTGTTTGACTTTTAGCCGCGAAAGCAAAAGTATTGCGATCGATTCTAGGGTATGCTGTTCCAGTTAGTATATACTTGAGACAAATTGAGAGACAACTTCACGAGTTACTACACCGAACGCGAGAGGTGATCGATAGGTTGTGGCGAGAAAGACTTGGTCGGCGCTCGGATTTATCGGACCACTAGCGCCTAAATTTTTGTTGTGAGTGCTGGATTCGGGGAGAAATACAACTCGCGGGCTGGCGATGAGATTATTGTCATTGCGGCGTGATGCAAGAGACCACAGGATACTGTTGTTGTTGTTTCGGGTGGCGAAAAACAACTGGAATAGCAATTCATATGATTCGACCCAGGCTCGAACTGGGGACCTTCTGTGTAACACCGTGGATTTAACGAGATGTTAGACAGATGCGATAACCAACTACGCCATCGAACCGCACACACAGGACTACGCTCCCTTGGCTATGTCGCAACTCAGAAGGCGTCGAATAACGCCCAGCGCCTAACTAAAAATTCAAGCCCTCGTTACGGACAGTCACCACGACCCTTGATATCAATCAAACATTCATCACTCCACCTCCCAAAAACAAACATGTATGTTGCCACGATGCCACGAATCCAACATACCCCGTCCCTATGCCCATCCACCTCACCGAAAAACACATCCTCTCAGCCTACATCCTCTTATCCCAACTCTTCTCATTCAGCTTACCTCCATTCACACCACGTGTATTCACACACCCTTCCCAAAACGCACCGTTTACTACAGCCCTAGCGTCGGTATGTTTATCACCGTACGCTCCGCCAGGAAGCTTCATTAGCGCCACTGTCCAATCGTTCGTCTTTTATCACCTCCCGTACACGAAAACACTCGGGCTCTGGATATACCTAGCGCACATACCGGTGTATTTGCTACGCACACTCCTCGGATACGTGTTCACGCGAAGCGTAGGATGGGCTTTTCCTGCGCTGTTTCGCCATTGGGCGCTGTATGAGACGAGTTCTGGGTTTGGACCTGGGTTGGTTGTCGTTTTATGCTCTGGGCCGTGGTTGGCTGGGGAAGGCAGGGAATGGGTACCAGAGAGATTGAGAGGTAGAATGGGCGACCTGTCGGTGTTGGTGTGTCTTACGGCGGTGTTGTCGATGGCAGAGAACAGACCGTGGACGTACGCTTGCGCGTTGATGGTTTCTGGGCTTGTTAGGCTCGTGGTACCGTTCTTCTCTTCTTCCACGACGACGACGACGGTGGAAGAGTACGAGTTACCAACTACCAATACCGCGCCGACGACGACAAGGAGATTCAGTACCATCCGCACATACACCCAAAATACCTTCGTACCAGCGCTCAAAACCACATTCACACCTCTCCTCGTTATCTACCTCCTCACATCTCTAGTCACCTACCTAACCCGAACACACGGTGCAACACCCCTTCCCCCAGACGCCCTGCTAGACATACTAATCCTAACATTCCCTCGACCGGGCGATACCAAAACACACACATCCATCATCCAATCCACTTTGGATTCCTTCGCCTCTATCAACAACGTCAATGTATACGTATACACCCACGCTCCTTCTTCATCACACGCTGCGCTCGAGGCTCTACCAGCGCTCTACCCACAGGTAGAGTTTACGTCGGCTCCGCATGTTTTGCCGGATGCGGGGAAGTACGTGGATGCACAGCATTTACATTTAGCGTCTGCGTTGGGGTGGTACAAACAGAACAGGGAGAAGAAGGTGAAGGGCAGGTGGTTGATGTTGATGGAAGACGACTTTCCTTTATGTCCGGGGTATGGAGCGGATGTGTTGGGTCGTACGATGTGGATTCTCGAGGGTAATACTGCAGTATGGAAAGGAGCGTGGATTGGTACAGGTGGTAGGTGCGTAGACCCCTTTTCCTTCGATTTCTTTTTCTTCGCGTGCTGACGCCCTCCCTTCCAGCGGCCTAATCTTCCCAAACACCCAACTACCCGCACTCCAACACACCCTTCTTTCATACGCCAAATCCGACCTCGTACCCAGCAGGAAACACAAGCCAGCAGACGTAGTAATGCAAGATTGCCTTCTGGGTCGAGAGAACCTTTGCCTGCTCCGTTCTTCCGCCGATACCCCCGACGCTACCACCTCACCCAACACGATACCCCCAGCCGTTCAAGCCGACCTGCGCACCCTACAAACCCCTAACAAAAACGCGGAAAGGAACCAGATCCTAATCCCGAGTAGATTATCAACAGATCACATCGGCGGTCTGCTCTCCACGACAGCTAACAAAGCCCAGAATACCGATAAGTGGAGATGTGGGTGGAGACATGTGTTGGAAGGTGATGAAGGAGTTGGGGTTATCGTAGTGTAGTCTAGTTTTAGTTTGGGTTTTTTGTTCGGCTTGCTTGCTTGCTACGGACGAATAAAACAATGAAATACGACAAGAGAAGGAAACGGAGGGCTAGGGTATCTGGTTCGATGGCGTAGTTGGTTATCGCATCTGTCTAACATTAGAGCTTGAGAGTATCTCGTGTTACACAGAAGGTCCCCAGTTCGAACCTGGGTCGAATCATATGTTTATCCCCCGTATATGGATCTCTTTTTTTCCCTTCTTCGTCTCGTCTCCTCTGTTCAATCAAAACTCGGGAAAAAAAAGGTTAATAACTTGAAAATCTCTCATCTTGGGTGTACCAAACAACTTGAAATCTCGCTATGGTTGGTAGTACCTGCACATCACAACCATAATCCCTGAGTACATGGTCCGAAATTCGAGCCACAAAGTACCTCCGAACCTGAGCCTACAAAAAACTATCTTATTGCCAATGATTCGACCCAGGCTCGAACTGGGGACCTTCTGTGTAATGTATCCTAGCATCAGAGTATGTTAGACAGATGCGATAACCAACTACGCCATCGAACCATAATGCATGAGTGGAGGGGCATAACACCACGCTGAATCCCACGAAGTCCGATAAATCCGAACGCCGATTTTTGGAGGCCCGGGAAGTGTACGGGTTCGATGGTGTAGTTGATCTAACGTACTGCCATGCGCTGGATATGCAAGAGCCCCAGTTCGAATCCGTGTCGAATCATTGGGTTTGAGACTTGGTAGTTGTTTTTGTAGGCTCGGACTCGCCAACAGAGGATCCTTCTCATACTTACTTGGGGGGTTGTTTAGAAGCACAGGCTAAGACGAGAGGGAACGATTGCTTTCACACCCGAGTGGTAAATGGCAGAAACACACTCTTACCATAGTAATCACCATGAGCTGGCTTTTGGTACCGTTTCAGTGATGAATGGGACTCGAAGTAGTCGAACCTTTCCGGCGCTTAGCAGGAAACTTGCCTGGGAACTGCGACACAGCCTTGCCCCTTGCAGCGTGACCACCATGACACGACGCGCATTCAGCTCAGTTTGCAACTTCGTCAAGTAATCAGACTCGAAGTACAACCATAATTATCTCGACTTTCTTAAGGCATACTACGGTAATCCGGGTCCATAGAACAAGATGTAAGTATGCACCGGTCAAGATTGATATCATTCTTATCAGATGCCAGGAAGTTGTATCCAGATTCCCGAATGACCCAAGGACCAAGATAACAACCACGGTAATTGACGGAATTTCCTTTGCGACTGTCCACCACCATGTTGACGCACAATGGAAGATCTCTCCCCTCTCTTCCTGATCTGTACATCTCATAAAACAACTTACCATGCCTCCATCATATCAACCATGACTTTTTTTTCTAGACCCCCTACGACGCACGACACCCCTACCCACCAAAGACCTCATTGCCTACTCCCAAGTCGCACAAAATCGTAAAAAACTACCACCTCCGCATATTCCGAATCGAACTTATCCTCTCTCCCTATTTTGAACATGTGAGGATTACAGAGGTGTTTAATTTCGTGCGCAAGGGGAGGAAGATACAGGTTATAGCGTGTGTTGGGACGCCGTTGGAGGTGATTTTGGAGTTTCATAGTAGTGAGTTTGAAGTCGTCACGGATTTTGTTGGGTTGGTACTGACCTGGAGATGATACAGCGGTCGTGATGTGCCTGATATCCTACTCTCACGCGGTCTGCCTCTACCCTCGATCTACGGTCATAGATGGAGTTACTGTCGGGAATTATAGATGGAATGAAGGTCAAGATGCCGCGAGGGATAAATACCGAGATCGTGGATGGGAACTTGACCAGGCAGTTGACGCTTCCAAGGGATTAAACCGTCCCTCGGGCCTCAGCTTCCTCGAGTATCGAAGACTCGGCTTGTTGGACTATCCCTCTCAACCCCGTAATTCCTGGTGATTTCGTCCGAAGTGATATGTCGTTGGGTGATTTCGATAACCTGGGCCACGGGATACATTCTTGGAGTTGTAGGTACACGCATGGGAGTTACCTCCATCTGGCGTTTGAAACCCTGTGGGTGGATGAATTGGGGCAGTGGTTTTGTCTCCCGGAAGGCGTTGTGAGGAAGGTGGAAGAAGGGATGTTTCGTTTGCCTCAGGGTGTCGGAGAGGATGAGTAAGTGATCGGTGATTAGTCGACGTGATAGCTTAGCGCTTAACCATAATCTCTTTCAGGGCACGACGAGCAGCGAGAGATGTCGCCCGACGATTCAAAGGTGGTTTATCGCAGAATGATCATCGACGCGTTCAAGGAGGCACAAGAACGGTTTCCGTACACGCCAAGGGCCAAGATGCCACCAGTAAGAGCTGCTACGTTCATATGGAGCTACGTACGGACTCTGTTTGAGAACTTGAAAACGCCACCAAAGGTATCGTCTGTTTTCTCGTTATTAACGTGGATTGGTTTTTTGAGGTGCGACAACATAGGTATCCATAACGTTCAAGGAGGAAAGGAATGGTGATATCTGGACGTATGTTGATGTGGAAGAGATACCCAAGCTTCTGAGTTTGCGTAGGAATGATTGGGAATATCATAGATTGAAGATACGTGTAAAGTATTAGTTTAGTGAGTAGATGTTGGCGTGAAAGATAATAGACATATAAAGAATCACCTGGTCCTCATGTTGCGCCAGCGTAGTATGTCAGAATGTGAACCTAGTGGTTGTAAATCAAGGGCTCAAACGCACAGAACGGCTAAATTACTATACGACTGGTATTTTGACAATGTTATGATACATCAGGATGCATGGTACTACATCATGGAACAGACAATATTGAGACCATTATATATGCATATGAGACAACACTTTGTAGTGGACTAGAAGTAGAATTGATAATACAGATACCAGATCACGGTTTGTCAAAGTATCCGTGGTCCTCATAATATATCAAAGAAACGGATAGCGTTTAACCTCTACTTTCACCCGTTCCATTTTCAGATCATAATCGTTCTTGGAGAGAGTTATCATCTTGGGCATCTTTTCGATGGTGATGTATGTCCAAACAGCCCCTTGTCTGTCCCGCTTGAAGTTGATTGCTACCTGTGACACCATACCCTCAATCAGCAAGCGCATACAAAGATTTGGAAGATAACGAACCTTTGGCTGTGTCTTGAGGTTCTCCAACATGCTTCGGATATAGCTCCAGACAATGGATCCAGCTCGTAATGGCGGCAACTTGTCCATCGGGACTGACGGGAATTGCTTTCGTCCATCTTCAAAGGCACGGACTACCATCCTGCGACAGACTTCTCTCGGTTCATCTGGGGATCTGTTTGGTCGGAGATGTTTGTATACGAGATTCTTGAGCGCTTGCGCTGCGGAGGCCCTAAGGACAACAAACATGTACATCAGAGACCCTAGTCAGTATTGAAGAAGCAAAGTTCAACACACCGATCCACTTGGATATCCTTCAGTATTTCCTCATCTCGCACCTTACACCAGACACCACACGGAAGACAGTAGGACTGCTCCAAACCCGGCACCGGGAGTGTCGTGAATTCCACCTTGTTAAAGCAATGCTGGAATCCCCAAGAATTGATCGTATAGTTATCGAGATCCCCGAGGGTCAGGTGGCTTTGAGCGAAATCGCGGACTGGGTTGAGAGAGATAGTCCAGCACAGTGAGTCGCCTACGTGCCGGTAATCGAGGTAGCTGATGTCCGAACGATATCCCAGACCTCGTAAGGCATCAACTGTCTTTACCACCTCCCAGCCTCGCTGACGGTACTTGTCTAGTGCCGCGTCCTGGTCCACGTTACGGCGGTTGTTGACGACGGCAATGTTGTCTATAAAGGTGGAACGAGGGAAGAGGCATACGGCATGGGAATAGCAGATGAAAGACATGACGACGGCTAGTGGTAAAGCTAATGCTTAGTGCTTAGATGATGAGACAATGATAATAGACTCACTGCTATGAAAATCCAGAATGACCTCGAGTGGCGTGGCACGACAAGCGATGACCTGTATCTTCTTGCCATCCCGAACAAAGTTGAACACGTCTGTGATCTGGGTGAAAAAGTAATGTTGCTCGCCACCCAGGAAGCCAGGGTGACCGTTCCAGTCACCCTCATCCTGTCGTAAAAGAGCCTCGTCGAGGGCTATGTACACGTCGTTGGCCTGGTGTTTGGTGTCGGTGACGATAGGCTGGTACACGTAGCCATGACTGTCGAGGAAATGAAGAAGCATCGCACACCACTGCTTGTCAATGTATACGTCGAGGTCGGAGTTGGGATAGGGAGGCTCTCGGGAAAAGAAAGTGAGTGCCGAAGAGCCTGAGATGACGAAGCCAATCGCATGCTGCAGGATGCGAAAGCGGCGAATTTCGTCAGGTTCAAAATATCGAGAAAAGATATGTTCTGGCCTGTAAGCTCGTCGATAAAAGGCGTTGACGATGTCTTTGGCTTTCTTTGAAATCTTGGCGTAGGCAAGAAGATCCTGGGGTGAAAGGCTACCGAGAAGAAAATCATGAGTAGTAGGTGGGCTGCACGGTGGATTTAGCCACGAGAGCTCGGAGATGATTGTCGCAGAACTCACAGGTCAACAAGAGAAGGGATGGACTTCCCGTTGTTCGTGGACATTGTAGCAATATTCGTGTGTAGCGATTCTTGTGATGGTGGTAGCAGGACAAATGGGCGAGTGGCGGTTCCTTTTACGTTCGTCAAGGCTGGGAATGGGCCTAAACAGGAAGTGTCACGTCGAGGCTCAGTTAAGCGGTTCCCGCGGAACAGCATTATTAGTGGGTAAAGCCGATTTAAGTCTTTTCCGAGGTCAGAAAGTAATAGAACATTTTCGCGTAAAAGCCCAAAAACACCCAGAAATAATACATCTGCCTAGCCGATGTCACAGATCGTAGCTAACTCATTCCGATCCTAGTTGTATGCATTTGTCAGCCAATATTGTGGAACTGCAGAGACCATGGCCTAACTATAGATATTCCATCAGTTAAAGGAAGGAAATGAGAAAGTCAAAGAATTACCCTAACTTATACATAGTCCTTGCTGCCAATCCTAGAATGTCTTCGTCTAATTCCTGAAAGAAGCGAACCTTCGGCAGATATGGAAGACCAGCTCGTGTTAACGAGGTTGAGGTTTCGAAGTAGGAGGCAAGCTTCCTGTCGCCAATGTCAGCGCCTCTCATCAGTACCAAGATCCGAGGACGTACCCGGTTGCACAAGACCGCTACAGAATCCATCCATCCATCTGATCGTGCCAGTTTCCCTCGTGAAGAAAGCAAAGGACACTGAGTGTCTGGTCATCTAGATTACCGTGTCACCAGTGTTGAACTCCTCGGGTCATTCAAATATTTATGATATCGCTTATCACGAGCGTCACATATCGATGCCCTCTGTTTGGCTCCCTTCCGAGTCCCGAAATCCATCATATTATAAGATGAACCGCAAATATGTATTGGTATCGCGGGCCTGAGAGTGAAGGTGAGCACCATGACACGCGAAATTTACGCACTATACGTTACCTCTTTGCAAGCCTCTTCGACTAGGTTGAAAGGTTCTTGCCACCTTCTGAATCTCCAGCACTCCGTCGCTTTGCAGGTGTGTTGATACCTCAGCCAGTCTCCTTACAAGGTCGAGAAAAGAGGCGTCCCCTTGGAATGGGTATAGTGATCGCCGAAGCCCGTATCCAGGTAAGACATGAAGTTGAGAACTTCGAACGTGAAAGAGGTAGAGGT